CTTCCTAGCTACCTTCCCAATCACATCACAAGCAAATGACAGATACTGTCAAGGGAGCGTTGAATTGTTTGTAGAGAAAAGAGTAAGCACATAAAAGTGACAGAAGTATCTGAACATTTGCCATCACAAGAGATCTTAAAGTATTGTTTGCAAAAAAAATGAATTATCCAGAATAGCTTGACTCATTGTAGGCAGCCTAATCAATCTCAACAATATTTGCTCCACTTTCCAACGACAGAGAACCTGTAGAAAGCTTAGGAATAAAGACAAGTTGTTTATCGGAATAAATGCCTCAAATTCACAACTTCCTTCGTTTTTCGTGCAACATTTGCCGAGACACAAAACAGTGTTGTGTAAAATATGCAGCCATAAAGCCGCCTCCAATGAGCAATTTACCAAATTATTTCCAGTCAAGGCCATCAAGAGGGACCGCGTGGTCTCACGTGATTGATAGTGCCCCTCAGAGGCGAATTTTCGACTAATCCAGTGGTGAAAATCCTCGAAGTAGAAGACCGATTCCAGCGTCTTATCGGGCAAACTAAATGTCGGAAGATGGAGAAAAAGAATTTACAGACAAAAAGGTGGTCTTCAGTACCCCACCCTCAGACGCACACTTAACGGAGGCAAGAAATATCGCATTTGTAGATAGAAATCCTGTATTCTACGATAAGAGTCTATGCGATGTCGCAACACCGATTCCAAATGGAAAGAATCCCGTTGTTTCAGGGATTTTGCATTTCAAGGCGAAGCAAATGTTGCTCACATTTGCCTGATTTCATGAAAAGTGCTTAAGTCATGACGGCAAGGAGACTGTCTTGCAAAAAAACACTCGGACTCTTATTTGGAGTACAATGTGATCACATTCGTTTGATTTGAAAGCCATCCATAAATGAACCACCATATAGGTGTTTGCACTGTTTTAAGTATGTGTAAACATAAAAGGCTTCTTTGAAGATGCAATCCGGTAAAGTCTACAAAATAACCACACAAATTAAAAGGAACAGAGTCCAAGGATTTAATAGCGCTGGTTAAAAAAACAGCCTTTCTCGTCTATGAAAATGAGGTACATTAGAGTGATGGTGAAAGAATGGTACTTCTTGCTACCACGTCGCAAAGTTGAAGCCTTACACCTATCTGTAATGCCACACTCAAAACTCTCGACAGCCCCCTCTATCAGAATAAAAGCTGATCTTGAACTTTTAGTCGACTCGAAATTGAACAAGAGAACCTACTTGTGACGGCAGCAGAGTCATTAATAATGTGTGAATGTTCCTATTCTAAAGTTAGCTCGTTGGGGACCGAGACAGCTTTTCCTTTCTGAGCAGTATAGATAGATGAGGTCCTTGAAGAGGAGCTGGGCGCCACGACAAAGAAGGCTACGATTGCTTAGACCCCATCAATACGTGTGAGTAGCGGAGGATGGAAGCATGTGGGGATCAGCGTTATGGTAGCAATGACGAAGAGAACCAGGATCTACCAGATCAGTTCAGGCAAAACGACAAGTCTTTCGGTGCCAAAGTTCAGGTGATATTAACCGGATTACCGTATAGGTGCGCGGAAGGGAAAACAAACTCGTTTTCTGCTACCGATCCCCGTATTCATAAAGACGACCAAACACGAAGACTTATAGCCAAATAATTCCAGCCATCATCATCTCAGAAGCTAAAATCCAACCTATTCTTCGAAATTTCCATTTACAATTTAAACTTTTCTTTCATTCTCCTTCAGAAAGAAGTGTTCCTTTTAACGGGGCGCACTGAATTACCATGTTAGCTACGTATGCAGGTAACGAAGATACTTAAATGAAGCTAACTTAATCAAGTCGAATTTTTTAGTTGTGTTTAATTGAAATGAAAATGGCAATTACGATGGTAACAACTGCGATTTAGTGTCATGATAGCATTGAATGTGACATTAAAAAAGCAACAACACGGAGAGTTCTAACAAAAAGCTTTTCTGGCGATTTCACTTATCAAAACTATCCGAATTTTGGCGGTGGAATGTTTGAAGACATTGGACTTGCAAACCTGGAACTCTAAGAAGACAGCAAACTTCAGCAACCCATAATTTTCTCCCCCAACGTTGAAGCAGTCCCAATTTTGAACGAAAGGAGGGAAGGACAAAAAATCAACGAATCAACGAATTGAGGAAGGGATTTCCAAAGTCACTGCTCATCAGAGGTAGGACAATTGCTTTATCGAAAGGTAATAAAATAAAAAGAAACTGAGTGCGGAAAGGAATTCGCACGGTCTAGATTGTTTAGTTTGAATCCAATGTCGGGGTTATAAAAAGGTAACCGAGGGACCGTGGTTTTATTAAATGCAAACGACAAACGATATTAACAGTCATCAAACTGAGCGATAAGAAATCCAGCCTGGGTGCAGTAAAAAAGCAGAACGATTAATAGCGCTCACAATAAGTGGTTAGATTTGTGAATAATGTAATCGTGATGAGATTGTTATAATAGTATTTAATTCCAGCAGCTAGGTAGACATTTCTTTCTTCAGGAAAGCCGGCGATGGTAAAAAGATAAGAACCAAAACTTCGGCATATTTGGCCTAGTATCTTCCATACTGAGAATGTGAAGACGATCCAGATGGTCCGAGTCTCGTGTAAGGTATACTAATACCATTACACGCGGGCGAACGTTGCCTTCAATTTCAAAATCCACCTCATGATACCATTTGACTCAGTTCTCAGTGAATATAATGCATTCAAACACCTAGAAACTAAAATCAAGGGAGAGAGGATTTAAGCGACCAACAGAGCACAGGGCTCCTTTAATTCTTACATAAGTAGTAACAATACAGATTGATTTCTATACAATTTTTTCCTCGTCTGCTTTTCAACACACCTGACTTGGAACTTCGATATGGCAAGGTAAATGTTTAGAAATTGCTTAAAAGAATTTCACATACAGACAGACAACAAAAATCGTAACGCATGAGTCCTAAAGTGTTTAACAAAAAAGGCTGAAAAAATAGAACGTACCGAAGAGAAGTACAAATTTGTTTCATGCAGTTGGGGAAGTGGATGTTTACGAATTGTTCCACATCCTCCTCCTTCACCTGTCTCGCCAATCGCAGTGATCGTGGAGAAAGATTACCCCTCACCCAGTAGTGCATCGTCGAAATGCTGCCAAAAGTGGACAACTAATGGTTCGCGAGACAAGTCAGTTCCGACAACAACGCATAAAAACGGAAATAATTCCTTTTCAGACTTTGGAAGTGCCGATATCAAGTACAGAATTTCCAGAGTCCTAAAGTTACTCAACCCCTAGCGTAAAACATTGTTCCATCAAAAAATTTCTGAACCCAAAATCAGTTCCTACCATTTATAAAGTTTATGGAGGGAGTGTCGCTTCGTGGCTCAACTACTCATCCAAGGAATCAGGTGATATGGAAAGTGGAACATTCTAAGTTATACAGTGCAACAATATCCAAGCAATGTAAGAATAGTTGATGACAAAATTCAGCCATCCAATTAACTCAGGTCCTTTTATGTGAACAGTGAATTGATAGAGAAGACAAATAATGACTCCAAAGCACGAGATTTAATGCACGTTTTACGTGTAACAAAGGCTTCTAAGGAAACTAGTTTGCCCCCTCTCACATCGAGGAAGCTTCATCCAAGTCGGCAAATCCGCAGAACTCAAACAAAAGTTCACCCACTTTGGTCCCATAAAACTGGCACTTTATCTGTGACCATTGGAAAATGTAAAACACTCCTACCTCTAGAGATTAGAATTATTCTCTGAAATGATCGCATGAATTAGCCATGTGTGTACGCACATTTGGAGCAGATGAAACCAGAATGACAAAACACTTGAAAAAAGGTGAAATTTCGCAAAATTTTAGCAGTTGAACTTGAGCACAGGGAGCTATAATTCATCAAGGAGATCAAGTATGCTTGAAGGAAACAATGTTTAGTAGTCCGTCAGTGGACGCAAATTCATAATAACGACTTTCCGTGAATGCATCGTTCCGTTAAACTGGCTAGAGAGGCTATTAGCATGCTAAAACGTCTTGTTTCAAGTCGAGTGCTTCCTAAATGCTTGTCCGTGTTTTTTATGCATAGCAGAATTTTGAAATAAAAACGGTTGCCTACTTCAAGTGCTGATAGAAAAAATAAAGAAATTATTTTATCCCATTGATTAATATTAATCAGATAATTACAACTGTTAAAAACTCCTTTTGGTTTCATTTTGCATACATGGATTTAATATCGAATCTGTAGGTGTCGATCACTTAACTAGAAAGGCCAGGATTTCCATTTCCAAGTTTACTTCATGATAAATGTATATTAAAATGTGCTAGGTAATACAAAAAGCGAATGCCAAAGGAGGCATCAATTTGCCGCATATTTTAAAAGCTACTATAATGAAGGCCCAAAAAAGGGAGACGCGACCGTACCAGAGTAGGGAAAATCTCTCGCATGAAGATCCATTCCTCAGTCATTTGGGCATAAAACGAGCTCATATATGCATTAATTGGCTTGCAGAAAAAAAAACCACCTTTTCCCAAGACGGTTGAGGACAAATGCATCGCATACCCACGTTCTTTGAGCACGAGAGAACATCAAAAGTGCAAACAGGAAGATTTCGAATGTGAAAAGACTAATAATAAAACACACTTTTGCTTTGACCATCAAACACCAATTCGAGGAACTTGGATTAACACTGTCCTAGCACCGCGTATAACCAAACCGCCTGCACGTGTGTTCAAGAAGGGCATAAAAGTCCAGCCCCACGCGTGCCCTAGAAGATAGTCCGATAGCAACGGGACAAGGAGCAGAAGGCAGGGACAGGTTTGGTGACATATTTGTACGGAGCAGTGCTAAACTGAGCTAACTGATTCATGCGAATACTACCATTCTGTAAGAAGCTGAGTGATCAGCCTTCACATTCGATCCATAAGAGAAAGTAATGTCTTAGCTACGCTTCACCAATACTAATACCTGTTTTTTTATTCTTCCAGAGTAGTAGCGGATTTGCTTGACACCTAGACAATACAGTTGATATCGAGGCCGGTAACCTTATCACTGCATGAAAATAGCAAAGCAATTATATAGGCTCAAACTCTTTACTCTGAATACAACAGGAAGTCAAAAGGAAAAAAACTTACCAATTAGCAAGGGGAGTTATTATAAATTCAGCGTCAGTACCAAAGGCAGCAAAAATGAGGATTCCTTGACCGAAATTGAAGACCTGATCAAGGAACTCTACTACCACAAAGACACCAGCCTCCGTCTCCCGAACCAACCGCCAAAGACAAACACATATTCCCTGCCAAGTTAAAGCAGTCTCATTACTACTTAAGAAAAAGGGAGTGGTCAAAGTTTATAGCAGAAAAAGCGGTTTGCACAGACGTTGTCTAGAACTGACGTAAGCAAGAGGTACTGTGCTTCTTAGTCCTAATATAGGAAATTTAAATTTGGTACAAACGATAAGGGCGTGCCATTGGCCATCATCTAGGCAACTACTACAACTGTTTGAGGATCACCCCTTCCTCCTAACTGTAGTCAAATTCATTGTATCTGAAAATCCAAGTAGACCTGTCAGAATAAAATGATGAAGACAATTAGTAAAGAGTTTGACTTCATTTTTTAAACTGGGTATCAAATGTGAACAGTTACAGGAGAGAGAGGTATATTTCATATTACAACCAAAAAGTGGGGAAACTTAGAGAAAAAAATGAGTAGGAAGACAGTAACAAGAGAGCAAAAGAAAGCATTCAAATAGAATTTAATGATAATAGTGAAGGCTAAATAATTTGTGGCAAACTTGGCATTAAAGCACCTCAACCAGCCTTAAGACATCTTGATCTTTCTGCATGTCAAGCATAAAAAACCTTCTCTTCATTCTCATGCCGTATAATGCATTGAGAGATGGTACGGAGCCCCATACTAACGCAGCGCTACATAAAACAATTAATGGTTTAAATACGGTAAAAGCTAAAGCATTAACGTCACTAAGAGCTTTCACCATAAAAAGTTTCTATTCCTTTGTGGAGGAAAAAAGTGCTCTTGTTTTGCTAAAGAATAATGGGCGTACGCTCTAGGCAGGGCAATCTAATCGCGTACCTGTTATCTCTAGGTCGCTTTCCACATGCATTCAACTAACCTTAATAATTGGAGAAGAGATTAACAAAGGCAATGAGGCTCCAAAAAAGTTTAAAATATTGGAAGAGTAGCACAATTGCTTTCTATTATGGGAAACAATGAAGTAGTGTCATGACTTAAAAACAATGAACAGTATGTGACATACAAAATAACTTTCTCAAAAGAAATCGTTTTTTATAATTTAAAGGGAGTGACTGAGACAGCAGCTTACAAAGAACATGCTGACCATGAGAAGAATGATGAGGATGAAGAAGCGATGCAAGTTTGGGAAGTCTGATTGGCTTAAAAGTCCAGATGGAAGGCCATCGTCCAGGAAGGACTCGTCATTATTCGATCCGTGTGAAGATGCAGCAGAGAAACTCCGGTGTTCAATTCTCTCCGAAGATGTGGTGATGCATGTTTCCCTAAAGTAGAAAGTGTCGCCAAGTTCAAAGTGGTTGTACGAATTCAGAAGGCCTTGAAATCACCTACTTATAGGGCTCGATCCAGAAGGACTTTCAAATTTTGAACTAATATGGCAAACTTTGATAAGTGGGTATTGCATTAGGATTCCACGTACAGAGCTTCCTGTTACATTCTCCCCCAACTTCAACGCGACTGGGCAACCAAGAATGCTCTACTTCCGTTTTGTCCAAAATGTAAAATTCTCTTGAGGAAGATTTTTCTCTTGAGCTGTTTCACAGTGGTTAAGGCGTCGATCAAGCATTCATGATCGGAAAAGCGGTTAAACGGTTAAATGAGTAGTGCGGTAGTGATAATACTGTTCAAACCCAACATATAAGCGTTTAATTGTGGAGAACGAAACATTTGAAAATTCCGCGCAGAGAGTTGTAGAATCATACGCGAACTCTAAAGATACCCTCAGATGTAATGCCTTCAATTCAACTAAGACCTTCCACCGCCAAATACATGCATGGCTTTCATTTAAGCGCCCTTTTCAAGCATCTGAAATGAACAAGACTATGAAGTATCCGTTGGCAAGTAGAACACACACGGGACTTACAACTGAGTAGCTCAGAATTGAAAACAAATCAATTAGGAAGTTGTCTCCGAGTAGAATGCTCTCAATCGCACCCGCTTTTGCACTGGATTTTCAGGTACAATTCAAAAAAAGACATCAAAACACTGCCTTCTACAGAAAACGAATCAAAATTGTTCACTCCCGCCCAGGACTCAAGGCGCCTGTGAATCAGAGAATATGGGGATCCAGCACACAACCATCATTTATTTGACTTCTTCGAAAGTTAGTCGATTTTCTTGGACAAAGGATGAAACGCCCTTCCTTCCCCTTATGACCGTGGCTGCATCACCTTTCAATCCCTTTAATGACAACTACATGAGATGCGTTTTTTTCGGCATGCCTATTCTCCCAGGTTGCCCCAACACGATTAACAAAGCCGGCTATCAAACAGTTCAGATAGAAGTTTTAAGAAGCAAAACCACACACAATCTCTTATTTGAGCATTTTACGCCCATCAGCAATTACTCTACTGAAGATTAAAATACGAAATTCTCAAAACCTAAAACAACAAATGAAAATTGAAAAAAAAATCGCATGTCACGCACTGCAGAACATCCACCTCGTTTTCGTGTTGATGTGAGTCGCCAACACAAGGTGACAAATGAAACGAGCTTGATGAATTACGCCCCTCTTCATTAGGTGACACGGGTCTAAAATCGGAGAACACGACTGTCTTCCATGGACAATTAGCATAAGAAAAATTTTGGGCTTCAACTAGTGAACGGTATACTGAAAATAAAAACAATAAGACTTCATTCCTAAGAATGCAAGGTGATAGAAAATAACTACAAAAACAACTCCAGGTATGTTCTTTAGTCGGGGAGAGCCAATGAGCAAACCTCTCATCTTAAAATTCAAAGGCGCCTTAAGTACAAACTGATGAGCCAAAACAACACTGACGAAAGGACATTTCCAATCTCATGAACTTCCCAACAGCATCAAATACATGCAAATGGATGAGAATTAATACAGCTGATACTGACTCTAAACTTTCTTGGTGCCACGAACCAAAATCCTAACCAAAACACTGTCAACATACCCACTTGACTGAGAGATTCCATGTTGATCTACAGTTTCCGGAGGAATTAGGGGACTGTATTCCACTTCCCTACTATTGTCACTCACATCAGCTGCTTCCACGAAGTTGGAAGAAGACCGTGAATTCTCGTTGGCCAAGTTCTAAAGAATAATCCAAAAGAAACTTTGAGAATAAAAAACGAGGCTTCACCATCAGATAGCCGTACATCGTCGACAGTCCATACCATAAAGTTATTCCATATGCTGGATAATCGGCCATCATGTGTAGCGCTGATCAATATATGCCTTACTTGAGCTGAGTATCACATGGAATGAATGTTCCGGAATATCAAAGCAAAGAGAACACATTAAAACACAGAATAATCCCGGAAGTGTGCATAGGTTAGGTGTGAACACTACAAGTTTTCTACCTCTGACCAATGACTAAATGGGGCTGAATGCATTGAGATTCTTTCGCAAGGAAGCCGTCCCACATTTACGAGATAGGTGCCGAAGTGTAGGAAGAAATTGGATAACACTTCATGAAATCCATTCTCCCTTTGCACGAGTTGAAAGTTTCAACTTGATGTATACTTCCCTCGAATTAAACTACTCTTACCCCAAAGGAAGCGCTTGTTTTCTTTCGTCACTTAGCTCTAAATGAGCAGACTGTAGTGTTATCATTGGAACGCAGGTTTAACTTCATTAAACTAATTAAAGGTTGAGTCTTCAGAAGTACAATTACTTAGTGAGGCCAATTTATTTTGGAGAAATGGTAAAGTGTGTATAAACACGACAAAAACCACGCACAAATAAAGCCATTTCCAACCACACCTTCAAGTGGCGTGTAACTCGACCAGATTCTTGGTCAGTTTTAGAAAGTAGGCAACTTATTTGAACACCACTTGTCCTGAGAAAACCTCTACCTCACTGACAATACGTGAATAGGGGATGTACTGTGATGAAAAGTTTTTCGCAGACTCGCGCGACAGTAAAACGACACCCGGTGAAAAATTAAGCGAGTACTCCTAGGGACAAAGTGACAACATGAGATTTGTTGTTTAACTTGAACCAGAGGTGAATTTTTTGCTACCAAAATAGGTTTTTATAGTAAATGGGGTAGTAACATAGCAGTGAGTTTTGGGGAACAACATGCCTTACCCGTAATCGGACTCGCATTCTGGAATACCTCAAATGCTGAAAATGGCAGAAAAAGTAGTATGCAAGCCTCCATACGGCATAAGACTGCACAGAGCGGTCAAACAGACTTACACGGTGTGTGCTGACTGACTTCAAACGGAAAATGCATGAGAATGTCAGTAACGAAGTCAATAAACAAGTGAGGAGAAGAACCAAGGAGGCGATTAGCTAAAAGGGAAACGAAAAGAGTAAAACGGATAGTAGCGACTCGAATGCAAGACAACGAAAAAGTAATTTGAGGAGCGGTGATAATACACACGGAAAAGAATTTCTAGGCCACAACAAAATTCTTCAGTCGTATGCGTAAAGAAACGTCAAAGATGCAATGCCCTATGAAGATAGTGTACCAACACCTATCAAGGACATGCTTTTCGATTTCTTACTAACTGTTCTAAACTTAATCACGTCAACAAACTCAGCTTCTAAGTACGAATTAAATGCTATGCAAAATCTATTTACACTTCCATTTGGAAATACGCTTGAACGGCTCGTTCATCCATTCAAATGTCTCGCAGTTATATTCAAAGGCTGCTTTATCTAATAATAAGCATCATGAGTAGACACTCAAAAGAGGGGGACAGACAAATAATGCTAGGTTATGCACAGTTCCAAATATCGAGAAGCACAATCTAACAGATATGGTCTGCATGAAACTCCGAGAGCTTGTTTTTCTCATGTTTCTGTGTGTCCAATGTTTACGCTAGATGTTGGGAAAAAAGAATCTCAGTTCGACTGTTGCTGGGTTTTCAGCTCTCTACAGAGACTTCACTTGCAATCAGAAAAGGTTTGATTTGGCAAGCGCAATCTATCATTCACGATTGATGTCCAGAATCGGTACAAGGAAAGTCAACAAGATAACAATCCATGGTCAAGAATGTTTACAATGTTTCAATTTGGGGTGGGTTTCTTTTTCACAATCAATTAAGTCACTTAAACAGCTTCGGCAATAAACGGCAAGCACTGAACACAGAGGAGGTTTGTTTGAATAAATTTAATTCTTGAAAGACGTGTTTGGGCTAACAAGGTGGATAATCATAAAACCACAGTGGGCTTACCGATCGCAAGATGCAAAGGAAACAACACACGTCGCCGAGCCATATGATTAGGAAAAAAAGCAAAAGGATCCAACATACTTAACGTAGCCCATGTCAAAACAATCGTAAAAACTTTAGATGATAAGCGAATTGTTCAGACTACTTTCATCATAAACACCTACAACAGGATAGCCAAACTGTCGATACCTATTTATTCTCAAAAACAAGGATCTCGTATTCTAAAAGCTAAACAACATCGTAATGTTCCCTAAGATAATGTTAAAATGAGTCACTTATCGACAAAAGACAAGCTCACCAGCTCGACTCTCATGAAACGCTTTGTCCTCAAAAAACCGTGCACCTTCACGCATGCCTCACTTGCGTTTCCTTATGACCTATTTTATTCCGCCTGTAAAGTGGCGGCGAAAACTTAGAACATCGCCAGAGTAATGCGGAGCACGAGCCAGCACTGCCACACCCAAAATGTAGTTTGAAGGTTAGTTTCGTCGGCCAGTATATGTGGGTTGTAGGTGTAAATATGATTATTTTTCCCATGGCTCATGCTAAATTTTGCTGCATTTATCAGGTACAATAACCTCAATAATATCCGAAACGGTAGCGATGACTTGCTGTTAATTATTATCTGTAGTAGTCAGTTCAAACGAGATGCATCTGCATACCTTACCCCGCGAAAATGGTGCTTCTAAACCTTAAAACTACACTCACCAGAGTTGCCGAGCCGACAATATTTGACAGAACCGTTTAGATTGGGAACGGACCGGCGTACATGTGTACCAATGCATGGGCACACGTCTTAGGTCATAGGCATAAACAAATGCATGATTTGACAAAGTTCCATTAATGACAAATTATTGTATTCAGATACCGGAAGTTGCAGATTTTTATACCATTTAGTAATTAATGCTGCTGCTTCTGGTCTCGCAAATAAACTGGTGTAAAGATACTAACACAGATGGTGCTATTTTGAAGTTCGCGATGCACTTGGTGACTGCGTTGATGGTAGGTGGGGCAAGTTTGAAAGTTATAGATGCAGAAGAAACGTTTGCCAATCAAATGCTTAAGCAAAAGTAACTCATTCTGCAATAGAATTTATGAAGGGTAAGAGACATTCAAAGTACCCGAGTATGATTAAAAATAAACTCACCCTTTACTATGAGAGAAACTTCTAGAGACTGTTAAGTTCTAACGGACCAAGGTTAATAATAATGTACGCAACTTAAGAAAGGTAAGTGCCCTCTTTTTAGAAGCATCACTTGTTGACAGAAGAATGCAAATAACCAAAACAAGAATTACAGTTAAATGCTATTTTATTCCTTTTCACAACTTCGAAAATGGAATGAGAAGATTAAATGCATCTTCCTGAATCTAAACACCAGGATAATAATTGAAAAACGTCGGGAAATTTCACAAAAGCACTCCATTATGTGGTAGTGGTGAGCACAACACAATCAGTGGTACGCTTTTGTAACTCAAAAAGTTGCCTCAAACCAAGCGACTAAGAAAGCCAAATGCTCCATAAAATACGATACTAATGTACAACCTGAACCGTTTTGATAAAAAAGTGCTAAAACTTTACAGGGCACCACTTCACTATTAAGGACGAAGTGAATTAGGCTGACCTCCGGGTGGCAGCCGAAATGATGTCCTTTTGCGGTGAAACCGTCATTCAGCTGCTAATTCGAAGCTGAATAAGCGAGGTAAAGGCTACGCTATCTGGTTTCCATACGCCTTAACTTTGTTCTTTTCCTTTCTAGACTCAAATTTCGGTCAGCTTTAGTAACCGTCGTGATGTCGAAGCGAAAGCCAACACCAAAACCTCGACAGTCCTTTACATAATTTATTATCTGAGTGAACAACAGCCGTTTTATAGGGGAAGTAAAAGTATCGATGAATTATTAAGTAATAAGCATCGGGACCTATTTGGAAAAAGCCGTGGATAAAACCTATCATTTCATATTGTTTATTTGATAGTAAAGATATAAAAATACCAGGGACTAAGAAAAACAGACGAAAATAGTGGCACAAACTACAAAAAGGTGCACTGAACGATTGGAAGAAATAAGCATTTCATCACTCAGATATTTGAAACCTCAACAACAAATTGATACGATAAAAAGGGGCGATAAATGCTTCCCACTCATAAAAAACAGTACCACAGAAATTGACCTCATTGCAGAACAAGAGTTCTTCCATAACTTTTAGCCCAAAATTTTGAAATAACTTCGAGAATTGGACAATTTAGGGAAGGAAGGATCCTGATATACCCACTGGCATTTGTGGTGAATTAAATCTGCATTATTTATAGAGAGCTACTGTTTTCCATCTCCTGCATAGCATTGTGATATTTAAACTTTTTTGGTATTACTTGATGCCAACCCGTAAGGTGATAAAAGGCATGAGATCATTGTCAATGAAGTCTATTCCACTGCACTTTTCACTCCCTTTCATCGACCTGGCTACAAGTAAAATTAAAACAATTGAAAAATTCCGGTTACGATCAGGAAACGAAAGATCGGTCTGCAAATAAAGCGACTAATTACAGGATCGCGAACTAGGAGTGATTCTTTAACACTCTACCCTTATTAAAGAGCGCTAAAAGTAACCATTGATTTTCCTTCTTTCATGTATACCAAAAAGGAAAAATCAACAAATGTTAGCAACGTAAAAATCTCAGCAACTAAATTTCGAAGTAAAGAGAACTAATTAAGAAGCGCGTTTATTATTACCTTAATGAGCTTTAAGAATGTGCTGTAACGACTATTGCTCCTTTGTTTATTCAATTAAGGCTACCGGTTACCGAATTCATAAAAAAATTTATGTCCAGAAATAACTGTGTGATTCTTGGTTAGCCATACATACGGGAACGGAAGCCAAATTGCCACCATTACGAATGGTTGATAAAGCAGCCACCCAAAAGACAAATAATGGGAAACATGAAGATATTCAGTCATGCAGAAGCAACAAAGCTCGTCAGCTAAATAGTGAAGAGAAGTGAAGACTGACGGCTAAATATGGTGATTATGTTTTAGCGAAAGCAAAAAATACTTTGTAAGGTGCAGGCGAAGTCGCATAGGAAGTAGGATATTGCTTGTGAAGCTCTGGCAAACGGGAAGATCAAGGATAGAACCCAAAATTGAGTTTATAACGTGAAAGAAAAGCCATTCAAGTAGATACTGGGTTGAGTCCGTACCAAATGACTTAGATAAGAACCAATCAGTTATCGTTTTCACCTTCCAGGCTACCTTCCAGGCTACCTTCCCAGCAGTTGAACATCAGGTCGGAGTGTTTGTGTTAATAGTACATTCGTTTCAAGTACTCATTCTGTTTTGCTCAGCATTCACAAGCTTACAATCATGCTTAGCAAAATCGTCGATCGTTGGGTAGGTCTAGTTACAAAATATGCATTGCTAGTTTACAGAGTAATTACTTGATGCTTGCAAAGACAAATTTTAGTTTCTTGGGCCAACCCATACATCATGCTATGCATTACAGATTTGGTGACCTCACTTCTTTGGATCGCAAGATTAATTACAAAGCGCTCTGTGCCCAATCCCCGCCATAGACATTGCCTGATGAGTCTTAGAAAAAACGCTACTGAGGCAACTAAAACAGAGCTTACTATCAAAAGACGGATTTGCATTTTATTATTTTGACCACAGACTATAGAAATAAAAGGGGTATCACTAACATTAACTACCATTAACTATTGCGCTTAAATGCAAAAGAATGAGCACCAATTCAAAGCAAAATAATAAAATCCTTTACGCATTTTTTCCATCTTTCAAACATACCTGTGCTTCGCCGTAATGAAAAGCTGGATTTATATCCCGAGAAATGGCAGGTCGCGCAGTAAGCATCAGAATCAGCGTTAAGATCAGTGGGACTCTAGAATGAGAAGTGTTTTAGCAGAGTAAAAAAGCCTTGGGAAGAAATGTAGGAGGATGAAAAGGTGGTGAACAGATCAAATAATTCCTGTTGATCCCTCAAGGGAATTTATTTAATCAAGACAAGCAGAAGTATCAGAATTAATTTTGAGTTTTGGAGCTAAAGGGAAAAACAATTGCTCATAAGCTTGCTTCTATTTCTGATCTCCCCAGCAGTTAAAAGCATTTGATTGACGTACCATCGGGAATTTTCTAGCTGTCACTGCGGATAAACAACTGATCAGCATGAATTAGATAGTGAACACTGACCGACCAACTGAGTAATCGCATTGATGACATACTACTTTTCATGGCCGTGGAAAACATTCAAATGGGCCTAATAATCCGTTTGACATTCAAAGTTTCGCCATTTCAATGGTTACAAACATATAGGTTTACTCTACTGCCTTTGTTTACTACTTGATAAAGTGATCCGCCGAAGCACAGCGACTCACACAAGTCCCAGAGTGTAGAAGACAACCTGGACCCTCCTTGATAGAGGCCGCCGATACCGGATTTGAAAGAGTAGTGCGACGCAAAGAAAAGAAGTCCAAATGCGTGATCCTGAGCAGGCGAAGAAGAAGATGCTGAAGTTTATGTATTGACCCCAAGTAGTACTGCTTCCAAGATCTGTCGGTGAAGAGATAGAAACATTTTAGCGCAAGTTAAAACTCAACACCAGTTATACATTGAACCACAAGTTCTCGTAGTCTCTTGAAATGCAATGTAGTTTCCACTCGAACAACGCTACACCTCTGTTTAAGCCAACTCTTGGAGAAGTGACTCAATTCCAAGTCCTGAAAAGTAACTGCTAATGAGAAAAGTAATGGAGACAAAATCAGATCTTAAATAACTGTAACCGAAAGGTTTAACCATGAGCCTCCACTCCCCCCCTCCCGAAAAAAAAACTGGACAGTTCCTCAAGTAGCATAAGTTTACGAATAACACGGAAGCCGAGGCGAAGAAGAAGAGACATTAATGGAGGGCAGAGTTGCGTGACATTTGTATCTTGTTTTCCCAGTGTAAAACAGTAAATACTTGTGAGGAGTTGACGGTATGGAATTGTAAGTCATACAAAATAAAAACCAATTCGAAAGAGACAGCTGATTTCTACGAAGTG